CCTTCCTTCCTTCCTTCCTTCCTTCCTTCCTTCTTTCCTTCCTTCCTTCTTTCCTTCCTTCCTTCTTTCTTTCCTATTTTGGGCCACACCCAGCAGAGCTCAGGGCTTACTCCTGCGAGGCTTGGGGCCCAGTATGTGGTTCTGGGGATCAAATCCAGGTCAGCTGTGAATAAGACAAACTCCTTTAACCTACTATACTATCTCTCAGCACCTGTTTGTTTTTCTGTTATATAAGTTTTTAAGCTATTTTGAAATTTTTTTTTCTTTTTGGGTCACATCCAGCGATGCACAGGGGTTACTCCTGGCTCTGCACTCAGGAATTTCTCCTGGTAGTGCTCAAGGGGCCATATGGGATGCTGGGAATCGAACCTGGGTTGGCTGCGTGCAAGGCAAATGCTCTACCTGCTGTGCTATTGCTCCAGCCCCTTAAGCTGTTTTGAATGTTAACCCTTTTTCAATAAATGATTTGCAAATATCTCCTCCCATTCAGAAAGTTGTCTTTTTTGTTTTTGTAGTGTTTTGTTTTGTTGTTTTCCATGAGGTATTTGGTTTGAATTTGTCCCATTTATTGTTCTGCTTCTGTTTCTTTTATGGAGACTTTTCCTAAACACTCCTATGTGTTTAGAAAGGATTTGTGACTGTGTATGAACCTGGAGCCATCTGGCTCCTACCGTGGGGTCTTCTACCTGCCACATGTAGTCCTTGCTGACCTAGGAGGCACCTGCTGGCTATTTTCAGAGACTTGAGATGATCTTTGTCCCTTTGCAAATTTGGCAAAATCCACTGTTCGCGGCACCATTCTGCCGAGGACATAACAACAGGGACCCAGGGAAGGGCTGAATATGTTCTGGCTTCTCATTCCCTCCTGTGCCTCTGCCCTTATCCCCTCTCCTCTTTCCCCACCCCCTGGTCACTTGCAAAAGCAACTAAAATGTTTTTAGGACACAGCCATCTGGCCCAAGGTTGGAGGTGGCAGGTGTGTTCCCACTGAGATGGGGAGTGTGGGACAGGAATGTGTGTTGTTGGCACGGTGCTTCACAAAGGGAGAAAGTCCTGCCCTGCAAGCACAGGGCATTAACATTTGTATTGAATGGAGGGTGCAAAGTAGGGGAAGGAAAAACACAAGTCAATGAACTTGGGATACTCGGAAAGTGGACAGGCTTCTTGGCCTGCCTAGAGTTTGAGAGCTTGCTGTTCAACGAAGGGTTTTTTCTTTTAGAATTTTCTTCTAGAATCAACCCCCCAGCTCCTAAAGGGTCTTGGCATGGAGCTGAGAAGACTCCTACAGCTGAGTCATGGCCATGAATCATTTGAAGACAAACAAAACAAACCCGAAAACAGGGTACCATGAACCTTCTCTGGATGACACTATTAAGAAGGGGTGAAAGAGGACATCTAATTTAGAGCAGAAAGTGTTGAGTCACTTCAGTAACAATAACAGGTAACATTTATTGAGCACTTAGTATAAGCCAGTCCCCGTGCTGAGAGCTAATTGACCTGAATCATCTCATTTATTTCTCACAACAACCATTGGGGGTTGGTACCACTATTATGTCCAATTTGCAGATGAGAGAATAGCAGGCTCGGGGGTTTGACTCACTAGAAGTACAACACGCTGGAAGAGGGTAGATTCAGGAGGAAAACGCTGATATTTTTCAAACCAAAATGAGCACACTTTTAACTGCATTGATTTACTGCCATTTGGAATTCAGAAATGTAAGGAAAGTGTAGCAAAGTGGAGAGGCCAAAAGATCAACTCTTGGGAAGCCCTTAATCTTGGTGAAGCCTGGCACATTTCCTTGGTTTGACGGCAGAAATGAAAGGGAAAAGGGTTAGTGGGATTGGCACAGCCAAGGTGCCTCCAGGAGTTTGTTGATCTCACCTGTTGGCTTGGAAAACATTGACTGCTACAGAAACTAGGACCATTTCTCAAGTTTTCTCTTTACATAACTGATGGGGGAGAGTTTGAGGCATGTGGATACAATGAACTACTTTTTCTGTCTGGGGCTGACACTGTGAAGAGTGACTGTTGGTACCATTGTAACATACTGGTTGGCACAAGAAGCTCCGGGTCTTCTGAGCCAGCAAACAGGTCCTGATAAGCTTATTTTTCAGACAGGACTAGGTAAGCAGAAGTGACTTAGGCTGTGGAACGCTCGGGGTCAGGAAGTGAAATGAAACATTGCAGAGTGTCAGGTTGAGATGGGGCCTTCTGGTGGAGGAGCTTTCTAGAATAGCACCCTGTGACACTGGTTATTTATGTCCTCAGAGGAGAGTACTTTATACTTAGCATCATCCTGGCCTGGACTCATCATAGAATCAAGTTCAATAATAATACGTGTTACGCATTCCCTTGAGGGCTATCACGCTTTTGTGTTTTGTAGAACGCCTTCTGTGTTTTGTAGAACACAATAAACAGTCAATAATAATGTTTACTACGACAATGATCTTCCAAATGTCTTTCATCCCAGTGCTCAGAAAACATTAATTAACGAAGCCTCACAATGGCTCTCTGCTTTTACAGTACCTTTCCCCATTTTACAGAATTTTAAATTAAGACCCAGCAGAGTTAAGTGGCTTGCTCAAAGTCCTACATTCACAATGACAATGACACCTTGCATCAGCAGGACATGTTCTTTTTCTAAGGCGAAATGAGTCTTTCACAAATAGAATTCTCAGATTGCTGTGAAGGAAGGTGGTTAGCAAGGCGGAGAGTGAGGGAATGGTACACTTATAGCCAGGAATGGGTTCATCCATCTGCCCTTCCAGGCAGGCAACCAAAGAATGAGTTGAGCTTCTCCAAGGAAGGATGGCTCCAGAAATGAAGGAAGTGGGGGCAGTTTGAGGGTGGCTGTAAGCTTTTATTTTGTGCCAATCATCTTCAACAAACCTTGAAACCTTGGCCCTACCTGGACACAGGCGCCTGCAACAACGTGCTTATGTGCTTCAGCCTCACGACAGGACTGTGCCCGCTGCATCAAGGACACCACCCCAGAGCTGGCACCTTGGCTTGTGTTACAAATCCCTATGAAAGATTTCTCAGGAAATGAGGCATCTTTCAAAGAACCAGCCCTGATCCCCACCACTCCCTTCGCTGGAACACCAGGAGGGGCTGGAGAATCCTCTGTGGTTTACAAGCATGGTAGCTGGGTTCTTTCTGATGCTACATTTTCTAAGCAACATAATGACGCTAAAAAGATAGAAACACAAACAAAGAGATTCCCAAGGCCATAGAGATCTTGTCACCCTCCAGTGTGGCAATACCACCAAATTGAATAATAACTAGGCAGATTTTGCATGGTGGGGGATGGGGTGGGAAACAGATTGCTGAATCTTAGGAATTTGAAGGAGTTTGGGGGGTAGCATTTTCTAGAAACAAGGCATATTTGGGGCAGAAGTGATAGCACAGCAGGTAGGGTGTTTGCCTTGCATGTGGCCGACCGAATTTGATTCCCAGCACCCCATATGGTCCCCTGAGCACTTTCAGGAGTAGTTCCTGAGTGCATGATCCAGGAGGAACCTCTGTGTATCGCCAGGTGTGACCCAAAAAGTAAAAGCAAAAAAAAAAAAAATAGAAACAAGGTGTATTTGGGAAAAGTTGGCTCCCCTACTCCCATCCCACCCTTTCAGGCCTGTGGATTCTGTCTGATCAATGACTAGAACAGATCACAAAGATGGGTCTGGGGCTCAGGAAGCAGTTCAGTGATAAAGTGAATGCTTTGCATGCAGGAGGCCTAAGTTTGAAGTCAGACACCAAACGATATATTTGTATATAGGCACCAAGTTATATACTTATTATCCCAAGGTTATTTTCTGAAATGCGTTCACACACACACACACTCACACACACATACACACACAACCCACCCCAATAATGGGATGTAACAAAGCGTAACATAGCGTAACAAAACAATACTGTGGATCAAAGCCAGGTCCTGACACACGCAAGGCAAGTGCTGTGCTGTTGAACCACCTCCCTGTCCCACTACGTTCTGTTTGGAAACTTTCCATACCCACCAAGTCCCAGCAGGTGCGAGGTGACACGAAGAATCATTTAGAAAACTGCCCCAAATGCCCATTATGTCCCTGCTCTCTTATGTAGGGAAGGAGTCTGGGACAGATTGCCCTGCCCACGGTGAGCCTGGCACTCACACTTTCAGAGGAACATCCTGCTTTGGCTTTCTAAGGATGGCATGACCCAGAGCCTGACTGTCCTTGGTCACTTTGGCAAGCAGACTCCAGGGGTGACAGTGCAAATAGCTCCCCTGGAGACTGTGCCCTGTGGACTTGCACCCGCTTAGCTCAGCCCTGAGAGCATTACCAGAGGGTCTCTTGGGTGGCTGCTAGGTCCTTTGGGGGCTTCTGATACTGCCATTCATGCATCTGTTGTGTGAGTTTTATTCCTTTCCTACAGTAAGGCGCACCAGAGAGCTCCTACGTATATCTGCTGGTGGTCCTACAATGCAGGCTCCAGTCAATCAGTGCTCCCAGAACACACTTCCCTCCCTACAAGTTTAACCTTGATGACTGTCAGTGGGTTCTGAGCGAGCCCAGTCGGGATGGCACTCTCCCACTGGGGGTGGGAAGACAAATAAGGGTATACAAGCAAAGTGAATCCTGACATTTGGAAACTTTTCCTGGCTCTCCGAGCTCTGAGCGGTGGCCTTGGTTCTTTTTCTCTTTCCTTCCCTCCCTGCATTTCCCATGTTCTGGGACCACTTCAGAACAGCATGGGTGAAAAAGCAGAAAAAGAAATAGAAGCTTTCCCCATGACTTTCTCAAAGGAGAGGCAGCAACCTGACTCACTCTCTCCCAGCTTTAAGATCTCGCAGAGGGGCTGAGAGAGAATTTCAGAAGTGGAAAAGGTTCTCTGCCCAACATGGGGATTCATCTTTGGGGAACCCCTCACAGCACTCTCAGAAGGGCAACTAAAAGAAGATCAGGCCTAAAGGCTGAACTACACAAAAGCCTCCCGGAGGAGTAAACAAGATCGTGCTTACCCCATCCATGTGAATCCTGATGTTGGGCACAAGTCGAAGTGGACTGGACGGAAGCCCCCTGAGGTGAGTCCGGCTCTTCCTGCTGTCCTGCAGACTCAGCTCCATGGGCCTGCGGAAGGAGCCCCCTCTTCTGGGGCCCCTGTGCATGCCGTCCAGGAGACGCACGAGCAGCAGGTTGGCTGGCAGCGCCTCGATGCTGCAGAACACGGGGGTCCGGCACTCGGGGCATCTCAGCTCCTTGTGAGCCTTGAAGATCCTCTGGAGACAGGGTTTGCAGAAGGTGTGCTGGCACGGAAGCACTTTGGCCGTGACATCCAGTTTCTCCAGGCACACGGGGCACTCCAGGAGATCCAGTAACGTCAAATCATCCATTTTTTTTTTTTTTATTTCAGAACTCCAATCTGGACCCGGAGGGACCGGGTCCACATGGTTGGGGTGGGGTGGGGGAGTGGGAAGGGGGGGCGGCGCCCAGAGACGCACACAAAGTCCGAGACCGTCAGAATCCGTGCCTGAAGGAGGAAAGAAGAGAGAAAATACGGTGTCTGCTCCGGGAGTTCCAGCCCACCTACACGGAAGGCCGCGTCTCAGAAGGCAGTTTGCAAGCTCAGGGTGCCCGCACCCAAGTTCCAAATGACTCATTCTGATTCAGCGCGCGCAGGTAAAGCTTCTCGCTGCTGGAGGAGCATCCAGCAGGGAGGACTCTTCATTCACCCGTTCCCGGGCAGGAGCCCAAGGCAGGGAAATAAAACTGGGGGGTGGGGGGGGGGTCCTAGGACCGCAGACTCCACTCTCACACCAAAGCCCCCCAGCCCGCGGTTCTGCCCTGCTCTTTGCTCCTCCCTCTGTCCCCAGGGTTCAGTTGATCTAGGTTCTGCTCGGCAGGCAAACAAGTCCAGTTTAGATAGAAGGGCCATCCCACATGCGTGCAGATTGGCACACGCCCCCTCACCCCTTAGGTCTCTTGGCCCCTGATTTTGACCTAACAAGGAGCAAGAACATTTTTAGTTTCAAACTCATTTCCCAACATAGTTTTGCCTCTGCTTCAGGGGGAGCTTCCCCCCCCCCTTCTTTTTTGGCGCTCTCTCTTTCTCTCTCTCTCTCTCGCTCGCTCTCTTTCTCTCTCTCGGTGGGGTTGGGAGGTTGGGGCCACATATGCCTGTACTCAGGAATCACTCCTGCCGGTGCTTGGGGGACGATGAGGACTGAAGCATAGGCAGCTGCTTGCAAGGCAAACACCTCGCTAGCTGTGCTATCTCTATGGTCTCCCCCCAACCACCTCTCTCTGTCTCTCTCTCTCTGTCTCTCTGTCTCTGTCTCTGTCTCTGTCTCTGTCTCTGTCTCTGTCTCTCTCTCTCTCTCTCTCTCTCTCTCTCTCTCCTCTCTCCTTTCTCCTCTCTCCTTCCTACCTTCCTATCTTAGCCTCTGAGGTACCGTTCCTCCCGTAAGAGACAGTCACACAGTTTGTTCACTTTCATTTTGGGCTGAGGTCCCAGCCAGCAGTGACCAAGACGGAGAGCAGATACAGGTGTGTGCACGTGTGTGGTCCCCAACCCCCTGAACAGCTTCCTGGGGGAGGTCTGAGAAGACACCTCCAGCTTGGGAAACTCCTGGGAAGGGGGCACTGTGACAGTGGCAGGGGGAGACCCGGCAGGCTGGAGGGTGGGGTGGGGAGTGTGTGTATGGGGAGGGGTGCACGACAGACAGAGCGGACAGGTCGTGCCAGAAAGATCTATGGCTCCCGCCTTCCCCAGCCGCTTCTTCCAGGGTGTCATTGCTGGGAAAGAGTGTGTGTGTGTGTGTGTGTGTGTGTGTGTGTGTGTGTGTGTGTGTGTGGTGAGCGCGCGCGCGCACGCGCGGGGAGGGGGGAAACGAGGACCGGCGGAGAGGGGGCTTGGGGTGTCACTCACCTTGAGCTTGTAACCCCAGCTCAGTTCAGCTCAGCGTGCTTCTCTGCGGCTTGTAGGCTCCCTCCAACTCGCTTCTTCCTCCCCAAGCTGCTGCAGCGCTGCCGCTGCTTCCTCAGAGCTTTGAAAACTTTCAACTCTAAGTCTTACTCATTTCAAGGGATCGCCTTACCCAGCCCAGTTAACGCTTTCACCGCTGGGCAGCCACGCTCTGCGCTCTGCTCGGCGCTGCGCCTTCCTGCCTGGATCTTAAGTTCTGGGAAAAGGTTCCCAGGGGTAAAGGATAAGTCATCCCCTCAGGCCGAGAAGGGCTTAAGATGGTTCTATTTTTGCCTTCCTGGGTTCCCCTTTTATCCTAGAAGTGGAAGAACGCTCAGTTCTAAACCTGTGTATCTTTCAAACCTTTAGAAGAATTTTTCTTCTTCTAGTGGAGCCAGCATGATCCACAGCGGGGACACTGCACACACACACACACACACACACACACACACACACACACACACACACACACTCACACACATAAAAACACATTCACACACATACTCACACACACATGCACACACACATGCACACAAACGGTTCTTTGCTCCTGAAAAGATCATTGTCACGTCACTACTTGAATTTAGAGAGACTTTAGTGATCTCTTAGCTCCATCGCCTTCAATGACAAGGAGTGTCTCCAGTAGAAATTTCCATGCAGAAATTTGAAAGAGCACAGGAGGGCATTTATTTATTTTCTCCCACATGTGCTCTGGGATCAGTTTTAGTGGTGCTGAGGGGACCACATGGGGCTGGGGTTCAAACCCAGAGTTCCTTCATGCAAAACACAAGCTCTGTGGTTCCAGAAGTCTTGTTAACCAAGAAGAAAGCTGTGTATTTCATCTTCTCATGCCTCTTCTCCTCTGTGGTCTTTCCCTCACCCCAAATAATGCTTCTATTTCTACTGCAGGGGAGGATTATGTTTTCTGTCATTACAAAGATGTCCAATAAAGTTTGTATTTATTTTTAAAGTACATTTATTTTATTTTGTATTTTCTGTTAAATTTGGATTTCTCAATTGAATCACCATGAGATACAGAGTTACGAAGTTGTTCAGGATTGGGTTTCAGTCATACAATGTTCCAACACCCGTCTCTTCACTAGTGTACCTTTCCCACCACCAATATCCCTAGTTTCCCTCATAAAGTTTTTAGTACCCAACAGAATTGTTGTCATTCCCTAAGCCGTCCTCATCAGTGCCAAGCACTGGTCTAAATACTTTGCTTACGTTAATTCACGTAATCCTTTGCACAACCTGAAGATACACTGTGTTCCTCTTCACCTCATTTTACCAAGGCGGCAACTGAGCCCAGTTAGGTAACACCAATGTTCTTGTCTATTCCATGAAGAGAGGGGCGGTCTGGGTGCTGAATTGCCCTGTCCCCTGGGTGATGCAGCTTTTTTTTTTTTTTTTTTTTGCCTTTCTTGGTCACACCCAGTGATGCACAGGGGTTACTCCTGGTTTTACACTCAGGAATTACTCCTGGCGGGATGCTGGGAATCAAACCCAGGTCGGCTGTATGCAAGGCAAACGCCCTACTTGCTGTACTATCGCTCCAGCCCCAATAAACTTTGGGGGAATGAGATATGATGCTGGAAGCTCAGCCTCAGGTGGGGTGGCAGAGTCAAAAGGCCACCCACCCCTCCCATTGCCCCCCCCCCCCCCGCACTGGCAGAAACTGAATATCCCAAGCTTCTTTCCACAGAGGGTGACAAGTCTCTTACTAGACTGAAAGTTTGTGGCTCCATCACTTCATCACTTGATCACTTGACATCCCGTTACTCATCAATTTGCTTGAGCGGGCACCAGTAACATCTCCATTCATCCCTGTCACGTGCTTGTGTAGCCCAATGGCATCTGCTCATTCTAGGAACATGAAGAGCCTCAAACCAATTGTTCAGGGTCTTGATGAAGAAGTTTGACCATCTTGTAGGTGGGCAGCCATGCGGTCTTTTGATGTCCTGTGGAATCCAGTCAGTAACAGCTCTAGTCTCCAAATCTCACTACGTGTCCAGCCCATCTGATTTTCGACACCTTGGCAAGCAAGACAGCATCCCTGATTCTTGATCGTTGATGGAGGTCAGAATTCCGGATTATTTCTCTCATTTGAGTGAAGCATGATACTCCAAGTATAGCTCTTTTGATTTCTCTTTGGGTGACCCAAATAGCGTTCTCATCCTGTTTTCTTAGGGCCCAGGTCTCTGAGACATATGTTAATGCAGGAAGAACAGTGGAATCAAAGAGATGTGCCCGAAACTGGAGGTTCTTTGTCCTCTTTGCTCTTTCTTCGACGCTCTGGAAGGCATTCCAAGCTGCTCTCTTCCTCCTGCGCAACTCAGGTGCCAGGTCATTCATCATGTTGACTTCTCGACGTAGGTACACGTAACTGTTGCATTTGGAGATGTTCCTTCCATTGAGAGCGAATGGAACGTCAGGAATGAGACTGTTTCTCATAAACATTGTTTTCATGAGATTCAGCTGTAGTCCAACATTTCCACACTCACGGTTGAAGTCGGCCAGCATTTGTGCCACTTGGCTAATGTTTGGTGTTACTAGAATGATGTCATCAGCAAAGCGGAGGTGGTGTAGTTGCCGACCATCTATCTTCACTCCCATTCCTTCACATTCCAGTCATCGCATGACGTTCTTGAGGGTGGCACTGAAGAGTTTTGGTGAAATGGTATCACCCTGCCGAACCCCTCTCTTGACATGGATGATCACCTCCTTGAAGAATGGTGAGATCCTGGTAGTGAATCCATAATACAGCTCACAGAAGATCCTGATGAATTGTGTATGAATGCCCTGTTTGGCTAGGTCTTCGATGACTGCTTTAGTCTCAACAGAATCAAAGGCCTTCTTTAAATCAGTGAACGTTAGACAGAGCAGCATCTTGAACTTCCAAGAAAGCTCAATGAGCTTGATTATTGTGTGGATATGGTCAATTGTGCTGAATCCTTTTCGGAGCCCGGCTTGCTCGCATGGTTGTCCTTCATCTAGTGTTCTGCCAATCCTATTCAGGATGACTCGAGTGAACAGCTTGTAGATGACAGACAATAGGCAGATTGGGCGATAGTTGCCAATGTCGTTGATGTCTCCCTTCTTGTACAGTAGTACAGTCCTGCTGGTTTTTCATTGGGACAGAACCTTGCATTCAGACAGGTAGCATGTGAAGAACCGAGCCAGTGTATTGATGAGTACCAACGGCAGATTCTTTAGGTGTTTGGGTCTGACCTTGTCTGGGTCAGGTGCTGTTCACTTCTTTACCAACAAAATGGCGTGTCGGATTTCAGAAGGGAGAATATTGGGAACGATGTATCCATCCTGCAGAATTTTGTATGTGGGCAGGTGGATCTGGCTATTGAAGAGATCTGAGTAGAAGTCATGGAAGGCTCCATCACCCCCGGGCATATAGTGAGACCGAGAGGTGTGAGAGCAGATTATGTTTTTAAAAATTCTTCCTTACCAGTTCTGAAGAAGCAAATGCTGATAACCTTTCAGTATCAATATTGCAAACCAGAATGCCCAAAAGGAGAGCGAGGGAGGGAGAGGAGAGGAGAGAGAGAGAGAGAGAAAGAGAGAGAGAGAAGTGCCTGCCATAGAGGCAGTCAGGGGTGGAGAGAGAGAGAAAGGGAGAAAGAAAGAGAGAGGGAGGGAGAGAGAGAGAAAGGGAGAAAGAGAGAGGGAGAAAGAGAGAGGGAGAGAGAGAGAGAAGAAAAGCACTTATCA